TGTCTGCTTAATATTGTATTGAAATTGTAAGGAGAAATTCTGTCATGGTCGAGTTAAATATACAAATCTTAAAACTCAGTTGGGAAGTACTTACTCTGTTGGAGTCTTCAACATCCTTGAGCCTGGCCTCTAATCTCATTATCTATAACATTGAAAAAAAAAAAAAAACACAAAAAAAACCATTTCATTGAATCAGAGTCAAAAGATGATTTTCAAGTTATTGCTAGAAGCACACCAAAAAAATAGAAATAAAAGTTCTCCCATGATGTGTCAAACATATGGTTATGTGACTGCCTTTCATTTACTTCATTGCATCTGATATATCCCCTTTAATATTGTTGTAAAATAACGTGAACACAATTATCATAAGTCAGAAAAGTTACTGGTCACTTCACCAACATGCCAATTTGCTGACACCTTGCCACAAACTTACAAACACTAATTTTTTTACTTGCTTTGTTTGTTATAAAATACCAAAGACTTCTATCAAAGTTGATCTAAGGTGTTGGTGTTTAAATGACTAATGATGTCAGCAAGTTTATGGTTGGTGAGATGACATTTCAGTAAAGCATGGGGTATCCTAAAAACTATAAAAAATTCCCTGTACTTGCATATGAAAAGGACAAAACAATCTTAATTGCTGGTGTACTACAATGTACAAGTGGATTTGCTCACCTTTGCTTGGTGATTCTGTTCCAGCTCTTTCTTTTTTCTCTCAAATGTTTGTTGTTTTTCTGTGACCATCTAAATTCAACAGACACATGATAACAAAGTACTAGATGGGTGTTGAGTTCATTTCAAAAAGAACAAAATGCCATTTGGGGAGTAGGGATGGCGCAGTGGTGAGAGTACTCGCCTCCCACCACTGTGGCCTGGGTTCAATTCCCTGACCTTGTGTCATGTGTGGGTTGAGTTTGTTGTTGGGTCTCGTCCTTGCTCTGAGGGTTTTTCTGTGCGTCCTCCGGTTTTCCTCCCTCCACAAAAACTAACATTCCAAATTCCAATTCGATCTGGAAACAGTGGACAACAAGAGCCACCCAGTGGAATGTCCATTGCTAAATTATTATTATTTTATTATTAATTTGGGTTTTGTATCAACGTTAAACAATATCTTGCATTGAGAAAAAATAGCCAACACATGCTGCTGTAATAATTTGTCACTGAGAGAATTCTTCTACCTGTAGTGCTTTTTCCCTTTCTGCTGCCAGTTCCTGTGCTTGCTTGTTTTCCAACTGAGATGACTTGGCAGAGCAGTCTGACTGAACTGAGCTCAATTCTCTTGTTTTGATTGCTAGCACCTGCAACATTCATGTTCATTAGATTGGATCATGTGTGCTACATGGGTTAGTCTCTGTTAATGTATACCAGGTATCATTAGATTTATTTAATGAATCAACCTACATTGTAAAGTCAAACAAAAGCTGATCAGAAGAGTTAGTCATCCGTTTATAGTAAACCAATAGTTGGCCGATAATCTTCCAAGACTTAGTCAATGATCAGCCAAGGTCCAGCCAATGATTTTCAAGGCTGTGCTCTAAGGAAAATTGAATGGAGCCCAGTGCTCTGAAAATGCAAAATCCAGGGTACCCAGCGTATGCTTTGTATGAAAAAACTAAAATTCCTGAGTCGCCCAAGAACAAAAGTAAGGCGCCAGGGGCTACCAGGCACTGCTAGACCACAGCCTTGAGTATTGGGTCATGGAGACATTGGCCAACTATCAGGATGGATTTTATGGGTATTTCATAATAAGCTCCATAACAGTTGAAAGACAAAGAAAAAGAAAAATACAATAGGTTCGAAGTCTTCATTTGTGGCATGTACAGAACAAATGTTAAAAAACAATTTAATTACAGTATATGCGTATGAATATACAGTTTATATTAACTCTTTTACTCCCAGAAGTGATTAACATGTAACTTCTCCTTAAGATATCCATACATTATCCGACAAACAGGTAATAAGAATACTCATTAACTTATCAGGCAGAAGTTGCTATCTTGATTTAACACCATATTCTCATAACTCAATTACAGGGAAATGTATAGCAGCTAGAGGGGAGAATTAACAACTGAATATTAAGAGTTAAATGGTTAATCAAAATTTCATGTATACATGTACCTCTTGACAGGTACTAAGCTTTTGTTGAAGATCAGCTTCTGTATTGGCAAGACGCCTTTCTAAAATTTGTTTCTCATCCTACAAAGGAAAAAAAATTACATGCTAATACACTTTAGGCAAAACAAATATTACAACATTTATATGCTCAAGAAATTATGAATAATTTTCACAATTTTAATTCATTTACTATTTCAAAAGCCTCAGATTTTGGTGCCAGTTGGCCATCACTCCTGGAATTATCATCAGCACAAATGTTCTTCGATTATTTATCACCTATCTTACTTCTATACGACAACCACCTTGAAGGTAGAGGGAAGTGGCTGTGGTAGAGAGGATGTTGTTACACAAAGAAGGCAGTGAAGTACACTACCTGTTTTTTTTTTCAAGAAGAGCAATATTATTTGTTGAGAAGAACTTCAGATGAATGCAGTCTCCAAAAATCATTTACCTAAAAACATTCTCCACAAAAAAAAATAACTTTCTCACCTTGCAAAAATATTTTAAATATTTGTACTAGGTAAGAATGTTATTTAGAAAGCTCACCTGCAGATTTTTAAGGCAGTTTGCTAGATATTTCTTGACTTCTGCATCAGATCCAGGAAGGAATTTCAGTGACAGGTGTGTCAAATGTTTGAATGGGTTGGTCTCTACCACATGAAGAATGGCTACACCTTGATCTAAACCACTCCCAACAACAAACTGTAGCAGAAATCTGAAAGCAAAACACAGTTATAAAATTAGATTGAAGACTGTGAAGCGACAATTATTCAGGAAAGCTCCATTTTCTGCCTTTAAAAGCACACACAACCCACAATTCCTCTATTCGCTCCGACGAAGGGCTAACGCTCCAAACGTCAGCTTTTGTAATCATTACGGTGGCCAATTTACCATTTTAACTTTGTTGACATATCCAAATTATTTCGTTACCCTCACCAACACAACCCCAAACAGTTTCTTTAGAAACTATCAGCCTTTACTCAGGAAAGTCGATATAAACCTTGTAACTCCCACAAGGGATCATCAATACAATATCAAGCAGACAAGAGATGAGAATAAAGGAAAATACTAATAAGGTGATGATCAGTTGATCCAATACCAAATTCTCTGAGCAAGCACCATACAAATTGTATGGTAGACAGGTAGGGAGAATTACTGATATGATCTCGGTGACTGAAAGGGTTTGGTCATTTACAATATATGATCATCAGAACAGAGGTTATATCAGTGTTGATTGAATGAATGCTGAAACATCTTTCTTTCTCGTGATTCAATCACCTAAAAATAGTGGCAAGGAACTATTCACTTTAAGAAATACTTTAAAAGGACAGGAATCAAACTTCAATGAAGTTCAACTTACTTTGGACTGTCACGTTGTTCCTCTTCCCGACAAAGCTCCAACAGATCAATAAACTTTTGAGGAAAGGCACAAAAATCAACCAGCAAACCTTGTTGACTTTTTAACCTGCATGGAGGTGAAATGAAATTATAATACCACTACCTGATGCCTATTTACACCTCATCAGATAAAACCGGCAGCTAATTAGTGAGCATATAAAAGGGCCTCTTGTTGCAATGATCAGATCACCCCTGGTGAAGGCCCTTGACAGAAGTGTCAAAATGTTGGGTCTATGAATTGTAATTTTGGTTACATTCATTAAATCTTTAAACCAGAGTAGCATCAAACCATGTCTGATTGTCCACCAGGTTGCTTTGTGAACTTTAATATATCAAACATTTTGCTTTGTTAACGTAGGAAACAAATATATTCCATGTTACCCTGGGTCTGTACAGAACACGTCACAATCTGGTAAGATTACTAGTGATACTTTATTTGCTACTTCATTGTTCTTGTCACATTTCACGTCACCTATGATCTATTGCTGAACAGATGCACGGCAAAATGGAATCTATTTTTTAAGCTGTACAACACGTAGTGCATACAGATGTATGACATATCTCCTCGCTATAATAAAATCAAATTCATTACCAATCTAAATGAAATGCATTCCCAAATGTTTTCAAACTCAAGAACTAAAATGCGATGCGAGAACACAAGATGCATGAAAAGCTTACGTGTGGAAATCACTCTCTCCTAAAACGAGATTGTAGAGAAAGCACAAATCCTCTTCATCCGTAATCCGGACAACAAGTTCCTGAAAAGGAAAGAAAGCAACTTTGCATGTATACATGTATGCAAAAATCAAGAGGCCCTACAAATGAAATAGTTGAAATCGCTTCAATGTTTTTAACGCAGAAGAAGTGTAAGTGATTCCTTGTAAAGGTTACGCTGATAGACGGTCTTCTGACAGCTTTTTAACATTGATTATACTTACGATTGTAAACAAATGTTCAAACTGGACTTACTTTGTTCGTTGGGGAAGAAACTGAGCGAAAGGATACATTGATGCGTACGACAGATTTTCTGCAAGAAATATCGCAGCCAATAGAAGTCAGTTCGTTTCATTAAAGTAAAAGCTCTGACAATTATTTATTGACAATCGTACCTGTTTTCTCGGCTTGTAGATTTCACGTGAACAGATACAACTTTGTTGAAACATTCCTCCATCTTGAAAATAAAATTCGCGCCTGTTCCCAGACCCCAGTGGGTTTCCAAACTTACTTAGACTCATGGGTAATAAACTTGTACGTCACGCAAAGCGTGACAGAGGATGCACGAGAGCCCCGTCCCCGAATATATACCCCAGCACAGAGTATGACATAAAAAGCGATACTCCCCGAAGCGTAAATCGTGAATTTATGTACCGGCCTAAGGCGTGACTCGCCTTCTGAAATATACATGGCCCCTAAATTTTTTTTTTTTCTTTTCGTGAAAACCTTTAGATGTCCTCGAGACCTCGCACACTAGAGAAGAGATTTGAACTTTTCTCTTTTATATACAAGACCCCTCCCCCACACTCTAAAGTGACTTTTTGTTCCATGCACCGTCAAAGTGTTTGGAGGAGAGTAAGTGCTGTGGCCTGGGTGCGAAAGCTGTTGCTAAAACCGTACAACCCTGTTGGGCGCTTATAGCCAGAAATAATCGAAATATCGCGGTCTATGCATTCCTTTTCAGAATATCTTGTATCAGTTGTGGTTCGAACGGCTGTCAGTTGTGAGATCTGTATAGGGAAAGACATGATTTCGATTTAGAATAAATAAGCGCGAGTAAATGTTTTCAAAGACTAACAAAATTGCATGAGCTCGTAGGGCCAGTGCAATTTGTGGTCTTTGAAAAATTTTACAAGTGCTTATCTATTCCAAATTGCACGAGAAAAATCATGTGATTATGTTTTAATGATATACATGAAAAAATACGAGTTAGGTCATCAAATTATGCAGAAGAAAAGCGCGCACATCACATGAAAAAATAATTTATCAAACCCTGCGTTCGGTCAAAACAACCACGTACGATCAAAAGAATACCTTATCTCAAGCGAGGCCCCGGAGGGCTAATTTAAATTTAAACAAAAGAATATTAATCCGGCAGCCATTTATAAAAATGGTCTATAAGATAAAATGAAATTTTCACATCTTTAAGGCGTAAAAAAGTCCAAAGTCCGGCCAAACAGTTCAAGGAATTGTTCAGTGAATTTGGTATTTCTGTGAGTTTGTTTGATTATTGACCAATCAGAATGTCTGGCTTGTTACTTTCTTTCCACTGAATTAACCCTCTTCTGCACTGAATTAACTCTCTTCTGCACTGAATTACCTGAAAACTGCATTTATCTTCACCAATCAGAACTGGGTAATGTTTTCATGTATAAAATTAATTCAGACTCAAACACTTATTTTTTGCACTAAAGTGCGTCTTTTCTCATATCACTGTTAATGGAACATAAAAACAAAACTTCTAACCATATTTCTGGGCTTTTTGTTTTGTTTTGTTGGTTTGATTTTTTAATTTTTTTTTCTTGTTTATTTTTGTTTTGTTTTGCTTTGTTTCGTTTTGCTTTTCTTTTCTTTTTTTTTTTTTTTCTATAAAAACAAGTTTTTTGTCTTGCATTCAAAGATGTAAATTAAATGCGACTGAATCAATACAATATTCGTAAGAACCAAAATCCCGTAATAAGATGAATAAGTTATGCCATTTCAAAATTAGAATAAAGAACAGTTTAGTTGCCAAAATCCTGTATTAAGCGTTTACCGTTCGCTATGGGTGACCGCTGACCGCTCCTCCCTCCCCTACTCACGTAGTACCACAATTTCATTAAAAGACTTACACCCTTTATTTATCAGTTTTTTCAAGATTAACCCAAATATTAATGATTAGTCGTTCGTAGTTCCTCTCTCTGAGTCGCGCGCGTTTCCACCTCTGCAGACTAATTTCTTCAAAACCATCCTAGCTCCGTTACGAATTTCCCTTATTCTCCAGTAATACAGCCAAGGGTTGAGTACAGATGATACAAAAAGTAACATCACTGATATTTTAAAAGTCGCCCTTAAAACCAGAGAGTCTTCAAATGACATCATTAAAATTATACTGACAGCAAATGGAAAGTAACAGAAATAAAACAGTAGTAGGTTGTAAAAAATAGTGAACACGGATTTCTTGTACTTCGCCAAGTTGACACACGACAACCGCGGGGCATTCTGAGATGAAAAACTTGCCTGAATTTGTCGTTTGTGGCGACGAATTTTGAACAAGACTTGAATATATGTGATGGTAGTCGTTGTAAAGCAAAATGAGAACTGGCATAGCACGAGTGTATTTATAGCATTGCAGAAGGATCCTGGTGTTAATAATTCTAGCGAACGAAACACTACCAGCAGTATTGACTGAGAAAGAAGAGCAATGAAGAGTTTACAAACGCGACTCAGATTTACCCAGCGCCTTTGAGTCACGTGCATCCACCTTTCCACAGCCATTAATGTGACAGTGAGTATAGTAGTAGCTACTAAAAACGTCCCGAAGCCGCCAACTATCAAATGAACATAGAACCAAACTGCACTCCTCTCTGACAAAAACATTGCCTCCTGTTTCAGCCTTTTCAGTGCAACGGCTAGCTCTTTTGCTGCATAACACGGTTGAAAAATTAACCCACATAGAAAGTACTCGAAGGATAACATACCGAGAAGAAAACATGACGGGCTTCTCATGGACTGATTTCTCCACATAGCCAGACAAACTAGAACATTACCTAACACTGAGAGAGGCGAAGTTGCTGCCACAATCACAGCTGAGCAGACAGATATGACGTGGTAAAGATCAGTTGCGTTCGCAACTGGCAAATTGCTTGTTTCACATTTAGATGCAGGGCCCATGATGTTCGACAAAAATTTCGTTTAAAATATTCGCTTGCAGCGTGGGATCTGCAGGCCAATGCAAGACAGCAATGGAATCGTGTTTCATTCGATTCCACAAGTTTTCTAGCGACTCAAGCTAGCTATTTCGAAGTTAAAAAGACGATGTTATGCTATTCCCCATTTGAATGTTGGATTTCGCAGACATCGGTAAATTACCTCATGATCAGAAAAATAGACTGAACCTCACCTATTTCTGTGGATTCAAGTTTTTTTTTTTTTTTTTAATTACTCGCGGATCACCTGTCTTTCTATTTAGTGACTCAACAAGAAACAAATGATCGATGAAATTGATCTTATTTATTGACTCCATTGACAATTTCCGCCGAGTTCTGTTGGTAATGCAAAGTGTATCTTGGATGCACTTAAATATCAATGAAAAATACTTGGAAACAAAAGCTAAATTAAAATGAAAACTGATCACAAGTGCTCTTGTTAAAAAGGAGTAAAAGATAATAGCCTTCTCTTAGTTGCTTGGAACACTTTCCTTAATGTGGAAAAATCAACGATACAGGACAAAATAATGTAATGCGAAAGCCGAACTTTGAAATTTTTCAATTTCACCTTAGCCTTGCCATAAACAAGATTTTCATTTCCTCTGAAATCCAGAGTCTAATCCGAAACTGAATTATTAATGCACAGTACTCTAAGTCATCATTTTTAATTTTCTCCATTCTCCGAGTGGTAAGGGTAATAATGCGGGTTGCCTGAAAGGCCAATAGTAAATAGAATGTAAATAAAAATGCAAAATTTTATTGCCTGTCAAACTGGTTAACCGAACTCTGAAAATGAAATAATTTTAATGATGTAAAAAAAGTAAATAAGAGTTATGGTTTGAAAAATTTCCTGTTTGACATTCGACATTTCAAAAAGAGATATGGATAAAGGTTTATCTTTTATTATTGTATGTATAAACAGAATAGGACAAAAATTCCATAGACTGGCTAGTTATTAGTGATTTCTGACCAACCATACAAAACAAGTTATTGAAACTAAAGCATATAGGAAAATAATTTTTCTTTATTTTTGATATTCTTAAAACAGTGCACTTTTGAAAGCTTTATTTACAACTGAGAACAAAATTTATACTCAAAACTACAATAAACCAAGGCCTTAAAAATTCAGGCCTTTGACGAAATTCGAGAGCGCGTTCCACTTATTAACCGTGGTTTAGTTAGGAAGTCACCAATTCATGTCTTCTGAAGGCTTTAATTTTTGCAAGCTTTAATTAAGTTTTTCCATTGCCTAGATTGGAATCAATATATAAGGATCATCTCCAATCGACTGCCATGGCATATCAAATTTGAACTCACTTTCAAAATATCCTTTGATTTAATTTTCTTGTACACTCTTCTTCAAACGATTTCTTGCAATTTCTCAGATTTTAATCAACGTTTTCGACCCTTATCTAAACAGCCAAATGCTATCCTTGAGAACGGAGGCGTTTATTGGTTGGTTATCAAACAAACGACAGTCTCAGACGATCCACATCACAACGTATTAAAAAAAGCGATCAGGGATGTCTGCATGTCCAAAAACATTTAGAAACTAACTGAAGCCAACAGCGACTAGAGCCTGATGAGAACGAGGCTGGACAGATCAATTGCCATTGGTCACAGTTGCTTCTTTCCGGTTTCCTCTCTTTTCACGTGGTCTTCAAAACGACTCGAAAAGGGCCTGGACACGGTCCGCGTTTTGCCTGGGATCGCCTTTTAAAAACGTGTAAATTCCCGGATGTAATTTCTCTGCCCGTGTCAAGACAATGGAGTAATCAGCTTCAGTTGCCAGCTGTAAGTCCTGACGTAACTGCCGCTTAGCTGCGTCATTAAGTGGCATCGTACCAAATGACCTGAAGCATGATTTAGAGAGGTTAAAGGTAATTGCCAGGCTTCGATGGGGCCTGAACAACTTCAAATAATAGATGTGCGCCACTAATATCTGAGCTGAATAGCCTGTTCAACGCGTTCAGTTGGTAAAACGGAGCAAAGTGGTAAACGCCGCAATCCACAGTGTCAGAGCGAAAACAAGAGAGGTTTTGGTCCAGTCGCGTGACAAAAACCCGACCCAGACCTCCCTCCTATTTTCACTAACGCAGTTCATCATCGCGCTTCGCTTTACTAACTGAAAGCTGGGAATAGGCTAGAGCTAAAAAGCCACATGCTAAGTGCGAGGAAGGAATCTGTTCGAATTCAATTCAATAAAAAATCGTTGTATAGTTTGAAGAGGTAGGTAGGAAGACCTTAACCCATTTCTACCACTAGGCACAATAGCTTGATATTAAGTAAATGATAAAAGTTACGCGGAGATTAAAAGGTAATTTCAAATGAAAACTTGGGAGTGGAAGAATTTACTAGTATAGGAATCCCAACACAGTTCTAACCACCTGAAACCTGTTTGGGGGCCGTGGGAGCTTTCCGAACAAAAGTTGAAGGAGAATTTTCTACCCCCGGCAAAAGAAACCCTCGGTTCAGGCTTTTCCGTGGGGGAGGGGTTTATGATATGATTGACGGGAGGGGTGGGTTATCTTTCATGCACAACACATCAGAAATTTTAATGGCTGATCAGTTGTATCAGTAATAATCACCTCGCTATCGTTCCTAAGAAATTGC